ACTGACTAGTCTTTTTTACATGAAACTTTTACAAAGGATTTTACATGCAATAATAAATATCGATGTCAAATTTGGGAAATTTTTTTAACGAATTTAAAATTTGGGCAAAAAAATGTGATGGTACCCCTAGAGCTCGAGGTCAAAACTAAAAAAAATTATAATTTAGACATTACAGACAAGTCTTTTTAATATGAAACTTTCAGAAAGGATTTTACAATCAAATATAAATATCCATGTCCAATTTGGCACATTTTTTGATGAATTTAAATTTTGGCCATAAAATGTGATGGTACCCCTAGAACTCGAGGCCAAAACTAAAAAAATTATAATTTAGACATTAACGACAAGTATTTTTAACATGAAACTTTTGCTAAGGAATTTAAAAGCAAATAGAAATATCCCTGTCAAATTTGGAAAATTTTTTGATAAATTTAAAATTTGGCCAAAAAATGTAATGGTACCCCAAAGGACATTACTTTGGTATTGGTACCCCAAAGGACATTACCCCCAAAAAATTTTACATGGTACCCCAAATTTTTTGATAAATTTAAAATTTTTAGACATTACTGACAAGTTGTTTTGACATGAAACTTTTACAAAGGATTTTACATGCAAATATAAATATCCATGTCAAATTTGGCACGTTTTTGATGAATTTATAATTTGCCAAAAAATTGTGATGTTACCCCTAGAGCTCGAGGCCAAAAATAAAAAAATTACTCCGTATAATTTATACATTACTGACAAGTCTTTTTGACATGAAATTTTTACAAAGGATCTTACATGCAAATAGAAATATCCATGTCAAATTTGGCAAATTTTTTGATGAATTTAAAATTTGGTTGAAAAATGTGATAAAACCCCTAGAGCTCGAGGCAAAAATTAAAATAATTATAATTTATATATTACTGAAAAGTCTTTTTGACATAAAATTTTTACAAAGGATTTTACATGCAAATAGACAAATCCATGTCAAATTTGGCAAATTTTTTGATGAATTTAAAATTTGGCCAAAAAATGTGATGGTATCTCTAGAGCTCGAGGCCAAAAATAAAAAACATTATAATTGAGACATTATTGACATGTCGTTTTGACATGAAACTTTTATAAAGGATCTTACATAAAAAATATAAATATCAATGTCAAATTTGGCACGTTTTTTGATGAATTTAAAATTTGGCCAAAAAATGTGATGATACCCCTAGAGCTCGAGGCCAAAATTAAAATAATTATAATTCAGACATTATAGACAAGTCTTTTTGACATGAAACTTTTAGAAAGGATTATACATGTAATGGTACCCCAAAAGGACATTACCCCAAAAAATGTAAATATCCATGTCAAATTTGGCACATTTTTTGATGAATTTAAAATTTGGCCATAAAATGTGATGAGTACCTCTAGAGCTCGAGGCCAAAACTAAAAAAATTATCATTTAGACATTAATGACAAGTATTTTTAACATGAAACTTTTACTAAGGAATTTAAAATCAAATAGAAATATCCCTGTAAAATTTGGCAAATTTTTTGATTAATTTAAAAATTGGCCAAAAAATGTGATGCTACCCCTAGAGCTCGAGGCCAAAAATAAAATTATTATAATTTAGATATTACTGACAAGTCTTTTTGACATGAAACTTTTACAAAGGATTTTACATGCAAATATAAATATCCATGTCAAATTTGGCAAGCTTTTAGATGAATTTAAAATTTGGCCAAATAATGTGATGGTACCCCTAGAGCTCGAGGCCAAAACTAAAAAAATTATAATTTAGACATTACTGACAAGTCTTTTTATAAAATTCACTTTAAAATTATAATTATATTTTGCACTTTAAAATTCTTTTAAAAAAAACAGTTTTTTATATTGGACTTATTTTATGGTTTAAATGGTAAGCTGATGTGTTTTCAAGTTATAATATATCTATTTATCTCATGTAGTGCAGAAAGCTAAAATTTCTCATGTCTAAATAAAAAATGATAGATAGAGTTACTCTCGCAATAGATTGTTGTATATTTTTGTTAAAAAACAGATTTTGTTAAAAAACGATTATTTGCCAATTGACAACATATTTACATGTGGTAGGATTTAGGAATCTTCCATTGCATTATTTCAGGGATTCGTCAAAGTTTGTTGTGTGAGATCAGTGGTTGCTTCGGATACTAACATGCATGGAGCACCTTAAGCAGTGCAGAAAGGTATGAGATTGATTTCTTTACACCAGTTTTTATTTTTTTACCAATAGTGTAGCACAATAGCTGTCCATTAAATATATATTGTGAAAATATGGCGCAAGAAAGATATACACTTATCCTCAAGGTACTTAGTCATGATAATGTGCTTACCAAATGATTATTTTGAATACTTGCAATAGTATTGAATTTACATGTGTGATATGCAGAGAGGTCATGATCTTATTTGAATCACTACACTACGCATCTTATTGTGATTTAAAAGTGGAGGTTTTGGTGGATTTGTGGAATGAAAAATCTATGTCTTGGAGGTATGAGTGAGTTCTAATATTGCAGTGAGACTACAGATAATAGTACACCTAATTTTTTTGTTGATCTATCTAAAGTAATTTTTACTTTATGTCATTAGCTTTAAATTTTGTCCAATTTGCTTCCTGGATACCAATAATTGATTCAATATTAACCTCTACTAATTGGTTGAATGTTAGTGGAAAAAAGTATAATTTCCCTTTGGAATCAATATATTTAAGACAAATTTTGATGACTTAAGAGAAGTCTAATTATGAATATAGTCATTTTATTCTACTTTAAGGTTCAATTGAAAAGAGGGGAAAATGAGGTCTAGAAAATGAGTTTTTTGCAAAAGACATGTGTTTTAATGTCTGGCTACAATGACGGGGGGTAATAACAAGTTAAGGATGACTATTGATTTGGATATTTTTCAGATCTGATTTGCTCTGGGTTGAGGTGTTCCCAATATACGCTTTTGGGGATGGTGCAGACAATGTGTGGTGGGTAGGACGATGATGATTGAGGAGGCTGGACGCCGGTGATGGAATAAGCGATGGGAGAACAACCTAAGCATTGAAGAAGCAGCAGGCTTCCGAAAAATCAAGTCGATGTCAAAATTGGCTAAAATGACTTCATTTTTCACCTTGACAACATATATTTTTCCATTGACTGTGTTTCCAAACACTAGAAAATGAGAAAAGTGACTTCCAACTATTATTTTCCTCTCCAAACCGATCCTTGGTAAATCTGTTCTAATGATGAGATTTCTTACATTAGAAATCTTAAATGCTTGAGCTTATTGTTGTCTTTGTAAAGAGCAATAGTTTTCGATTTTAATATAACACTTATTGGATGTGTATGGGGTTTGTTTTTAATGGTATTTGAAATTAATAGGGGTGTAAACAAATACAGTCCTTTAAGAACTATTTCTGGAAAAAAATATTTTCTCATGTTTGGTAAAAAAGACTATTTATGAATTAATTTTTCAAAATTGGGGACCATTTATGGATTATCTAAAAATAAAAAACAAGATGTGGAAAATCATCCGTAATTGGGGATCATTTACGGAATTTACTCTTTTATCGGATATCGAATCCGCATACGGATCATGGCAGATGCTAAAAATCCAAATCTCATTCGTCGGATATCGGATATATTCGTATTCATTTCCAAATTTTAAAGTCCAATTAAACTATATATGGAGTAGTATATATAAATACTTCTGTATCTGTTTATTTTTATCGTATATCGAATTCGGATACAGATCTTGGTTGAATTTCTGAAATGGGTGTTACGGTTGGGCTTTTAATTCTTTGGTACCCGTGGAGTAATAAAGGTTAAAAAAGAGATTTATTGAGCCACGAACCAAAAGTACAATGCATTTAATGCACTTAAGAGGCACGCCTATTGGGAGACGAAATTTGATGGATTGGCCACTCTTTTAACGTATTCCAATGTAAAAATATCATTACTTTCTCACCACTCTTTTCACGTATTCCAATGTAAAGACATCATTACTTTATGGGAAAGTGTAAAAGTTTTTTAGAAAGAGTAAAAGTTTATGGGTTAGTGTAACTTAAATAAATACTTTATGAGAAAATTGTAAAAGTTTATGGGAAAGAGTTAAAGTTTATGGAAAAGTGTAACTTAAAAAAATACTTTATGGGAAAGTATAAAAGTTTATGAGAAAGATTAAAAGTTTATGTGAAAGTGTAATAATTTAAATAAATACTTATGGGAGAATGAGTTAAAGTTTATGGAAAAGTGTAACTTAAATAAATACTTTATGCGAAAGTGTAAAAGTTTATTGGAAAGAGTTAAAATTTATGGAAAAGTATAACTTAAAAAAATACTTTATGGGAAAGATTAAAAGTTTATCAACCAATCTATCAACCATATTTATTCCATACAACATAGCTAGTCCAATCGCAATATGGCAAAGGTTTTCTTGCATTTTTAAAGGTACTTTTTTATCACATACCATGTTGGCCAACCGACTTGAATCATGTGGTTAACATCCCTTGCCTATTTTTTCATTGCCTATTACGTGGGGTATAGTATTTTTTCTTTGACTTTCACCTCGATCTAACTTTTTTTTCTTTCTGTTGCTAAACTTGCACTCCATATACTATTTTTAGTGTGGCTTATACACAAATCATGCAACTTCAAAGCTTATCTCCAGAAATCCAGCTTCTCATTCAAATCCTCTAGTGATTCTCACATTAGGATGAAGGATGATGCCATCGGCAAAAGGCATACACCATGGTATGAGTTCTCAGATATGTTTGGCAAGAGCTTCTGATACTAGTATAAAAAGATAACTAAGCTAAGCGACTACTAATTCTACACGGATGAGAAATTCCCTTGTTACCCCCACTTTGACTTCTCACATTTGTTGTAGCACCATCATACATATATTTAATCGCACGAATCCCGCCTTATATAAGCAATGTGTGGGTGGACCAAAAAAGGGTGTGGAGAGAGTATATTATTATTATTGTTATTAGTCTCACAATATAATATCATAAATGTTATTCAATCAAAGATACATCATCTTCCACACACCAACTAGTTCAGGTTTTCTTAGAGAACATAATAACGAGCATTTCCTTGTTTGCTGGCTAATAGTAACTTTTCACACCGCAGCCACCACCTCATGCACTCGACAACCCGATCATGTCAGCTCTTCCGCCCATCATCCTCTCTGCCTTTTCTCCCCTCTCCCCTAAATTACACAAGTATACTCAGTTCATTGTTTTTTTTTTTTGTGAAGTACTCTTGAAAAGTTTATAGGAGACAAGCCACACTTATCAATCAATATTACAGAGTATATATATATTAAAAAAATGATTGTAATAATTAAAGGAAAAATGTTTGAACCCCAACTCCAATGGTCTCCCAGTACTGACCCGGACAATAGGCTAGGGCGGAGATAAATTGAGTTATGATCTCAAACTGATCAAGAGAGTTCAAGACTCTCTGGTAGGTGCAAGAATCCCTTGCATCGCATGGTCATTCTTCGCCAAGAGTTAAACCCAGGTTTACCCTGTGGTACTTACTACCCTCTTGACCCATTGAGCTATGCGACTGTAATAATGAATTAAAGAGGAGAGGATGCACTATTTGTTTCTTACCCGTGCGCACTCTTATCACATCTGCAACAGGAATCACTGCAAAAACAACAAAAATAAGCATTTGATACTCAATTTCTTGCTCTTCACTATAGGGTAGAGAAGTGACTTGTATGTTTCATCACCAAAAGTATTATGTTGCACACCATAACAATATACTGTACTATTTATGCATCATCTCACTGAGATTTGACAAGCCACTTTTCAGTTCTACTCCGTATTTGCCAAATTACTTCATATCTCATTTATCGCTTTCATTCAAGAGAATGAAGTTAGAAAATACTACAGGGACTCCATTTGGGCGTCCGGAATTAGTTATCCACTCTTCATTTTTAGCAAACAAAATCTGGTGAATTGTCCAAGATACCCTTTGGATAACATATCAGCAGTGGTGACATTAATGAATGATAAACCGTTTATAGAACTTGTCTGACATTTCACTTTCACTCCAACTAATTCCATATGGATGAAGTATAATATCTTTTCAGAGTTAAAAAAGGTGAAAATCTTACAGAAAATTTTCCCATCTCCAATCTCGCCAGTTCTAGACTCTGAAATTATCTTGTCTATGACTGCTTCAACCTAAGAGAAAACAACATGAAAATTTATATTAGGCCGCAAACAGCATATGGAGTATATGAAGTCACAGAATAAATATTTGACTTTTTTGAAACCTGGTCTTTGCTAACGACAACCTCCATTTTGATTTTTGCCAAAAACTTGTCCTCAGAAAATTCAGAACCTGTCAAGAAATCATTAACTCTACAATGCATCAAAGCTTAACTCCCCCTTTTGGACCCCAATCACATAAACAGCTCATTATGTCATTGCATTCACTCCAACCAAATATCTATGGCCTTTGAAAGCAAGGGTACAATAGACTTTTAAAGTCAGAGTTAAGCTTGCGTTCAAATAAAAGTGGAATTGTTCGCAGATCATTAACATAAATACTGAAGTTCTCAAGAAAATATGTATCTACACTATCTAAGATGTGAAGCTGCAGAATACTTTTTAATATAATAGTAATAATGATAATAATAACAATAATAATATTACGGAGTAATGACTCAGCAGATAGGGCTGTAAAAACTGGAGATATTATTAAAAAAAACTAAACAAATATTAAACTCACCGGCATGCCTTTCCGATAATCCACCTTGAGAGCCGAAACCCCGGACGTCAGAGATGGTGACACCACGGATTCCCATTTCCAAAAGTGCCTTTGCATTTCACAAAGGTCATTGGGTAAACTTTAAAAGAAACTATAGCTATACTAAAACAGAACAACAACAAAAGGTTGGAATGATTCTCATGAGTGTGTCAATGATCCATATTCTGGGTCAACCTTACAGGTCCAGTCAAACAACATCATGATCCAAGTCTAGAAGAATATTAGAGTCCAAGACGAATCCCTGCAACAAAAGGCTTTTTTCCTAAGTACTAACGGGGCTTTCCTAGTGCCTAGAGCTATCAAGCATAAAAAAGCACTGCTAGTTAAAGTACTAGTGCTACAATGTATTAAGAGACTCTTCGGAAGTGATTTGGTAAACATGTGTCAACTAGCCATTGAGCTAACCAATGCACTGGTTTTGCTTTTAGGATGGCTCAAATGGGTAGAGTAACTGAGTAAGCATGCCTTTACCCATGAAATATTTTTACTCTGCCAACATTAAAACCCCAACCATAAGTTTAGAAGACTAGTTAACATGTCTATAAAGTTGCATACTCCCTCACGTCACCTCTTGTTAACGAGAGTTTTTTGTGTAATTTTTAGTATGTAATTTTTTTTTTAATTCCGCTCTAATTCTCAAATAAATTGTATTGGGAATCACTTTAGTCAACATCGTAAACCAAACGAGGCAAGATATTAGAGATGGAACTAGTTTAAGTATAGCCGGGTGCACGGATGGAAATATTTTAAAATCATAGATGAACAAATAGAAGTTCTTACCGAGGAAACCTTTTGGACTCTCCATGGTCTATAAGTTGTTCCGAATTCACATGAGCAATAGGACAGAGGGGGTTAGCCAGGTAAAGCTCATCCAATGAAATGAAAGCACATACAATGATAAACAAATTCAATTTCTTTGAAGTTTATAAAAAGATGAGAAGAAATGGAAAGAATAAGAAAACGGAGTATAGCACCTCAGAATAGCTTCCACCTTGTAAAATTTTGCCTCTGGGATGTATTCTGATGAAGGAATAGAGGCAGGAATCCGTGAGAATACTAACCCCAAATTGGAAAAAAAAAAGGGGGGGGGGGGGG